GGCTACAGAACCTTCCACCCCAGCATATGCTGCAGACACATGCTTATCTCACCCCCCTGCAAGGGGGGGGGGGGAAATACCCGTCCAGCCCCACTAACACACAGGGAAACTGAGGCACTGCTACACTGACTTCTGCCATCAGCCCCACACAGCTGAGGGACATTTGTGTTGTTGGGGGGTGAGAGACAATCTTGACCTTGAGATAAAGGTCTAGTACAGCCAAGTCCAAAAAGGATAAGCGACTGGCCTGAGGTCACAAAGCAAGTCAGTGCAGAACAGGGAACAGAACTCCAGAGCCCCAACACCCAATCTCCTGCTCTCGTTGTTATAATTATGAGGGAACACGAGGGTATGTCTACACTGAGTCTACTCAGATTCACATTTGAACCTGAATCCCCCTACCGTCCACATACAAATCAGTTTGACTCAGATCAGCAAGTCCTCAGGACCTGGTCCTAGGACTCACCCAGGGGAGTGGCACTGAGACCTGGGGCCAAGCCCTGTCATTTTGCAGCATGGACGCAGCTCCAACTGCACGCCCGAGTCAGAACGTCTGTGTAGTGCTGCGTGGACGCTTTAGCAAGGCTGTAAGGCCCGGGGTCCCACAACGGGAAGCCCAGGTGTACAACACCGTGTGGAGGCTTAAGCGTGGGCTTGGAAGCACCAGCGTAACAGGGGCGGGTACCATAGAGCTGGTTTACAGGCTGTGTAGACATACCCCCTAGAGGACCCCATCGTGCAAGGTGCTGCACACACTCTCAGGGCAGGCCCACACCACAAACGTGCATTGGCACCGCTGCAGCACTTCTGGTGAAGACGTTCTAAGCTGACGAGAGATTGCTCTCCTGTCGGTTTAGTAACTCCACCACAGCTGTGTCGTCGGGAGAAGCTCTCCTGCTGACACGGGCGGTTAAGGTTGGTATAACTACGTCGCTCGGGGGTGTGGATTTTTCATACCCCTGAGCAACGCAGTTATACCGAAGTAAGTGTGTCGTGTAGACCTGGCCCCAGCAAGAGATGGTCCCGGCCCTCAAGAGCTTACAATCCAGCTAGCCAAAGAAAGTATTATCCTCCCCACTGCACAGGCAGGGAATGGAGGCTCGGCCAAATCACACAGGGAGCCTGTGGCAGAATGGGGAACACAACCCAGATCTCAGGTCCCAGTCGAGTGCAAAACCACAAGCCCACCCTTCTCCTCTGAGCACTACCACCACCACAGCTTTGCATATAAATAGCAATTGCATTTTCCGTGTGCTGTACAGACATTAACCATCCCCCACAATCCCGTCAGAAGGGAGACGGGACTAGGGAAGGCAGGCGTTCAGGAACTGCTGTGGTGGACACACTATAAATACATTGTGGTCTCAGAGCTGGCGTGCAGAGCTCAGAGCCAGCAGGCATGGATTTTGTTCCTAACTAACACTGCCATGACTTCCAGGGGAGCCTCAGACAAGTCAACTCTTACTGTGCCTCAGTTTCCTCATCTCTTACATGAAATTAGATGAAGGTTTCTAACCATCAGAAGAGTGAAGTTCTGGAACAGCCTGCCCAGCAGAGCAGAAGGGCAAAAAGCCGACCTTGTTTCAAGACTGAGATGGATACGTTTATGGAGGGGATGGTATCACAAGACTGTTTACAATGGCACATGGCCCATCTGTGACTGCTAGCTCCAGCAGCCGGAGATGGGACACTGGATGGGGAGGGCTCTGAGCTACTATAGAGAATTCTTTCCCAGGTGTCTGAATGGTGGCTTTCGCCTACATGCTCAGAGTTTAACTGATCGCCATGGAAATCTTCCCCCAGGGCGAAAATCTCTCAGGGTCTCTGCCATTCTCTGCAGCATGGGGCACGGTCACTTGCTGGTTTGAACTGGAGTAAATGGTGGATTCTCTGTAACTTGAAGTCTTTAAATCATGATTTGGGGACTTTAGTAACTTCGCAAGAGGTTAGGGGTCTATTACAGGAGTGGGTGGGTGAGGTTCTGTGGCTTGTGATGTGCAGGTCACACTAGATGATCATGATGGTCCCTTCTGACCTTAAAGTCCGAGTCTCCATGCGGATAATACTAATGTGCAGCGTGGCCTTGGAGATGTCCAGGTACAAAGCCCTGGCAAAGGGTTATTTTACCAATGGGCTAGAGGGCCAATTACTTGATCTCTGTGTCTAAGGTCACACAGCGTGTCCATGCTGGATTAGAACCCATGTGCTTTAACCTCAGTTCCTCGGTTGTAAGCTGGGATCTCCAGCTGCTTTGAAAATCCCCAAAGCAAACTCTCCCAAGGAGCCAAGCTGATGAGTGAAGGGCGATGTTAATTACGCAGAGTTATTTCTGCCACGCTGGCTGATTAGCAGACACGATTTAGCCTTGGGGAGAGGAGGGTCTCGCTCCTGGAGGCAGTGAAGTTTGATGGGAAGACCAGGGGATAAGGCGTCAGGGCTGGGAAGCCAGAACCACTGCAGCCTCTCTGCTTTACAGGATTAGTCGCTGTCAGAGACAGGCCACCAGAGTAGACAGCCCACTGGGCTGATCTTCAGGGCCATTCCCAGGTGAATGCTAAAGCAGCAGGATCCTGCAGGAGCCGTCAGGTCTCAAGAGGCCGTACAGCACTTGAAGGCCTGGGGCCAGGCGTGGGGCAAGGTAAAGGGATGTCGGTGCAGGATGCGGACGGGGGAAACGCGTCTGTTAGCAACACTTCCTGTGCCAGGGACATGATGGACTGCCGGTGTCACGGCGGGAGAGAGAGAGAGCAAGTGAAGCAGTGACCTCCTAAGGCTCCACCATCGAGCTCTGCTGTGCCAGGGGAGTCACAACTGGACACACTTTCCTTGGCTCCCGTAGGCCGGTGAGCTTTGCTGAAGCCTTTTGGCTGGAACACGCTGAATCTGCAGTGCCTGGACAATGCTTCAGCTCCACCCACAGCGGCAGCTGCCTCAGCATTTGACAAGTATTGATTACAACTCAGAGTAAGGTCATGAGCTCAGGCCTGGCCGATAAGGGCACGGACAGGCAGCCTGAAGTGCTGCTGCAGCTACCCCAGTTCCGCCGGTCCCGGTGTGACCCCACAAGGCCCTGCTTTGTATTTGAAAATTACCCCAATGCTGCATCTCCCACCCACAGAGCTAGGTGCTACAGGACAGGTGCTTCAGGAGACCCAGAATGCAGTGGGGCAGCTACAGTCATAGGGCGTGTTGCACGCTGATATGCGGGAAGAGCATTGCCAAGCCAATGCATTGGTTCATCACCAGGGTGAGAGATCGAACAAATTACTTCATGCAAGCAGTGTCCTTCAACAGCTTCCTTACTCGGCATAGTCCGCTAGGAAGGGCCAGCCCAAGGCAGATCAGGGGGCACAAAGATGGGGACTTGGAAACCCAAGCAGCTTCCAAGACCTGGCTGTGCAAACGTCAGTTCCTATGTCAGCAGAAGTAAAGCCCCACGGTCTCACTTGTATCAACAAACCACTTTGTTTCACTAACCAGCTCTGTGAGCGAGACTGCTCCCCAGCCACGCAGGGATCACACGGCTAGTGAAAGATCAGAGGCGCTGACCAACTGGTCAGTTCTAACATGCATCTGTCAGCAGTGCTCTTTCAGCAAGATGAGCGCGACAAGGTTTAAAACTTCCCCATCTCCCACTCCAAGCATGCATGGTGGAGAGCCCAGAACGGGCAGAGATAACAGTTCATTAGTCACCACGCAGGACCATCTGTTCGGAGAGTTAAAAACCTGTTTTCTCTGCACAAGAGTCACAGGAGCGGAGAGTCCGGGAGGTGACTGACAAGTGAAGAGCAAATGTGGTCCACATTCTAGAGCTGGCGCTCAGGCAGGATTGCTTCCCAGAGGCCAGAGAAAGCGTTGGCACCCAGCAAGCAGGGAAGGAGACGCACCTGGAACCGGCT